GATCTTCTGTGGGATACCATACTGATTCATTATCATTCATAAGCCATTTCTGTGCACTGAGTCAAACGCCTTCTCGAAATCTACGAAATTGATATAGAGAGTTGCCTGCCATTCATTCACTTGCTCTAATATATTGCGTAAGATGAAAATTTGCTCCGTCGTTCCTCTACCAGATCTAAATCCAGCCTGTTCCTTACGGAGCCTGCGGTCAATCCCCATGCGAATGCGATCAATTANGGCTGATTAGGTTCTTATTTTTCAGAGCTAAATCAATACATTTCTATATTTTATTTCATAAGATATTTAGATATTAAATTGTCTGTATTGTACTGTAGCTTTATGGAAAACATATTTCTAGTGAGAATCTACTATCTATCAGTAAATTTTCTTTTTTTGTTTTTGTTTTATTATTATCATTATCATTATCATTATCATTATCATTATCATTATCATTATTATTTCTAGTGAAAATATTGTAACTCAAAGAAATGACAGTACACAACAACTTTCTGTCAGAAGTTTCTCATGCAATTAAAATCCAGAAATTAGAGTGACTTTTTTTTGTATAAGAACCTATTTTCCTTTGCCAGGCTGAACAGGTTCATATATTTTTGGGTGTTTTCAGCCTGTAGGTTCTTAAGTCACTAGGTTCTTATGTATGCAGGTTTTAACTGTATTTACTGTGGCAGTATCAGGAAACCCAGTAGCAGGGCCAGAGATGCCCATGAAGATGTAATAACTATGAATTATAGGAATAGGGATTCTAATAAAATTTTGATTGGAAAACATTTGCCTAAAGAGCTCCCCAGACAAAGTAAAAAGCTGTGAAAATGTCAATGAACAACTCCAACCAATGCCAACAAATATTATTTTCATCCTCCACAACTACACGTTACAGTATAATAATTACCAATTGAATTTAAAAAAATGATTTGAGCAGATATCAACAGCCAAATGAATGAATGAGCTTGAAAGTGAGTGACCAAAGGAAGAAACCAACCACCAACCAAAGGAAAAGAAACAAAATAATGGATTATAATGAAACGAGACCATCTCAGCTGAGGTTACATAACATCCATTGTGTTTAAATCTACATAATATAAACATCACATTATTTTTGCAGGCTGAAGTTGTGAGAACCAAGAGCACTGAATCAATGCCTTTTTTATTTTCCTTCATGATGGTTGTTGTGTCTTTTCTATGGCTCTGTTATGGAACAGCTGTTGAAGATGTAAACATCCAGGTAAAAATTCCATACGGTTTCATAACTGTATGTCTTACATGTACTTTCAATTTGTTTTCTATTTGAGGTATATCCTGGGGCGGATCTAGAAGGGGTTCAGGGTGTTTGGTTGAATCCCCTAAATTACAAAAACTGTCAGTCAGGCTGCTCCAATCCTGTTTACATGTAGTATTAGAGTTAGAGTTAAACATTGCAACTATCAAATTGGTTTGGCACATCTACAGCACATTTTATTTACATGCAGCATGTATCAAATTGTTCAGCCGATGATTTAGTGAAAGATTATTGAGCACGAGAAGAAACAAGCATAAAAGCAAGCATTCACACAGTTCCACCATAGTTAGTGTTCCCTCCACTGACTATGGCTCCAGTGATGTTTGTGTTAGTCGAATAGAACAATTTCGATACATTAAAATTCAGCCTAACACGATAGACGTTAGCAAGAGGCTCTGGGAAATAAACCCCACAAGCTCTGTAGTTATTTCCCAGGGCCTCGTCCTAAGGTTTATTGTTTTAGGCTGAATTTAATATATCGAAATCGGTCTATTGTGACCTGTTTAGCGAGTATAAACTGGTTGTTGTTTTGCTTGGCAGGTGCCCAATGCCAGTGGAGTACTACTGGGTCTTATTCAACTGAGTTTGTTCTGTATATACCCTTCCAAGCCTCCCAAACAGTAACATCGACATGCTACTTTGACTTGTGGAACCATAACTTATAGTTGTAAAATTGTTGTCCAACTTGAAAGTCAGGGTACACAGTGCCCGAGGGGAACCCCCAAATGAATTGGTCGGGGATGCTCATTGTCTCACTTAGGGGTGTAAATCAAGGATTCTGGTCTCACTTAGGGTGTTCAAGATGAAACGCCGCTATTTGTAGCTGTCAAAGTATCTTTTAGGGTGCGCTTTAGGAGATAGCATATTGAAAAAACGCTCTTATTTCTGTTTTTAGGCTCGATTTTTTAGTCAGGTCTACTAGCATGGGCTCCTTTCCTGAATAGTGGCCGGTAATCAAGCCTATTCCGTACTAAGTGGAATCTTTTAGGGGTCAAATAAGGCTTGAGCCACACCCAGATTGGTCTCCTTTAGGGGTTTCATTCAAATTCTCCGACAAGGATCCCGACATTTTCATGTGGGAATCCCCCCGGGACACAATAATACGTACGGGTTGGAGAGGGTTGTTTTAGATGTGGCGTACATTGATGGAGAGGACTTTTAGAAAGTCTTATAGGTTTGTAAAAGAAATGACAATTCTCAGCTGGAGATGAGAAATAACTTAGTTTCGTTGCGGGAAATTTATTCTACCGATGCTCTGGTACACCGTTGTTCTAATACTGCACATATTTGTATTCAGGGAAAAGCATAGTGGCATTGAAATGTCACAAGAATTGTATAGTGTGGTTGAAACTTAATTTATCGCCGTTTAACTAGTGAGGCCCTGTTAGGGGGGGTACCCATGTCCCCTGTCTGAAATTCGCCACCAGCCATGTCGGTATTTCGCAAGATTCCTATGTCGCCTGTCGGAATTTCGTCCCAGAGGAGTTGTGTCGGGAAACTTTGACCTTGTTCGATTAAAACGAAGCTACACGCATAACACATATAATTAAGTATCTCCAGGAGCCATAATCGGGGACGGAGTCCCCGATTATGGCTCCTGGTATCTCTGGATATAATTAACTCCTTGTATTCTTTGCACTTGCTTCGAACACTTTTCAGCAGTAGGAATTCTTATGCAGAGCCAGCATTTCTCCGGTCAGTGGGTTTAATGATTACTTTATGGTTACTTT